TAAGAAACTCTTAAGAACTCTTCTTACGCCTTGTGGAAATAAGCAAAGCTGTTTAACAAACAGTTGGGTTGCGGAGCATGAAATATTTTGTCTGGGCGTGAAAAAAACGAGAGATAAAAAGCTCATGAATGAAAGAGGGAGAGCGGGAGCAGGCTCAGCATCCCGAGCACGTGCTGGGATGCGGAAGGGTTGTTCCGTAATAAACTCTTGAGGGTCGGCTGGGTCGCCAAGTTGTGTGGGTTTTGGGTGAGCTGGGCATCGTTTCCACTGCGTCCCCGCTGGGGAAAGCTGCCCCCAAAATTCCGTATCGCTGCCTTTTTGTTTCTACCCCACGCCAATCCCGTGGGGTGCAAAGGGGTTCGGAGCCGCGGGGGAGAAGGGTTAAAGCTTGCGTTCGGTTTCCTGTAAAGATGCTAGGATAAATCTATTAGCGGGGTTTAAACATCCAATCTGCCTCTGCCAGGACCTCATTTTCAGTTAGCCGAGTGATATATTTATTCATTAGCAAGTGTTGACATAAGGTAGCAAAATGTGTGTAAACAGAAAAGCCACAGAACATGAATGTGCCATTTCGAAAGGAAAAGTTATTCCTATCGGCCAATAGGAAGTGATTAACGCTGCCCATCGGAAACGCAGAAACAACTGGGTTACTCACCAAAAAGTCCTCCTTTTTTTTCCTTTTTAAAAGAAAAATCCGTTTGGCAGCTGAACTCTTTGACTAAACGGGGCCGCGACAGGCGCAAGCGGAGCCTGGAAGTCTGGTGCTGCAGGTGGGTTTTGCAAGCTCAGGGTTTCTCGGCGTTTCCTCTGCGGAGGGACCGAGGGTTTCCCGTCCCAGCGTCGGTGCCATCTCCTGCGGCATTTTCCCGGCCGTAGGTTGAGGGTTGCTCGCCGCGGGCTGGCTAGGTGGAAGAGGAACAGTAGATGACGGTGGGAAGGTGTGGAGACTTCTACCTGGCCGATGCGCGGGAGCCATCTTCTCCCTTGGGACCTTGGGAGGGAACGGTCCCTCTGTTTAGACTTGGGCAACTGCATCTGCCAGTGGAGCTGGGAACGTGGATCCAGCAGGAAACTTCTTGCTATTCCATCAAGCGTGATGATGGTAATAAAAATATTTTAGGTGTTCAGTGCTATGTCTTGTAAGTGCTTCATATGGGCAGACAGACCTGGACCGGCATGGGTGCCGGCAGCGGTCACCAGTGCCCGTGAGCAGAGAATTATGGAATGGTTTGGCTTGGGAAGGGACCTTTAAAGGTTGTCCAGGCCAACACCCCTGCAGTGAGCAGGGACATCTTCAACTCCATCAGGTTGCTCAGAGCCCCGTCCAACCTGACCTGGCATGTTCCTAGGGATGGGGCATCCACCACCTCTCTGGGCAACCTCTCCCAGTGCCTCACCACCCTCAGGGTAAACAATTTCTTCCTTCTATCCAGTCTGAATCTCCCCTCCTTTAGTTCAAAACCATTATGATGGGGATTACATGTTTGGTTTTTTTTTTGGGAGGTGATGGAGGCTGTGTTACTGGCTGGAGGAAAGCAGGGATGGACAGGGAGCTGGGGGTCTGCTACAGGCAGTGAGATGCCACATCAGATGGTGTGTGGGTAGAATAGATCTGGTATTTGTGTACTTGCCGTGGAGTGGAAAGATCTGCCCTTGACAGCTGGGTTACCTGCGGGAAGGCTCTAAGTCCAGGCTGGCTTGATTGTTCATCAAGGAGAGGACTTCTCCTCTTCCCTTACGTGGGATGGTTGCAGGGATGGGTGACGGTGGCTTGCTCGGGGCCGGGCTCACCCTCCAATCCTGGAGGCACATGGGAGCTCGGCATCCCCGATATCTCTGCAGAAGCTGCGGCTTGCGGCTGCGTTGGAAGCAAGATGGATGCCCCCAATCCAGCAGATGTTTTGACCCACCATTAAGTGGGACAAGGGGCTGCAAGCGGCTGTGTCTGTCCTGCTCCTGGGTGGGCTGGTCATGGTAGTGCTGGAGTATGAGAGTGCAGGAAACCCTCTGAGATGTCGCTGCAGAGCCAAATGCCCGCCCGTGGCATCGACTTTCAGGGGAGTTGGAGGTTCGGCAGCTTCCAGGAATTATTTGGCACCTTGCAAGGTTGGGCTGGTGGCCACCAGGAATAATTGTTTGTCTCAGTGATGGTTTTATATTGTGGGGAGGCAGTTTTGCGAGGAGATTCACATGCAGTTGACTTGCTCTTACCTCTGATCCTACGACCTCTTTGGTGCTGGAAATAAAATGAGCCAGAGAACGCCCTACTAGTGAAAGCCCTTGGCGTATCTGTGGGTGATGGGAAGAGTGCAAGGATGAAACCGGCCACGTGTGGAGCGGAGAGCCCAGGAGGGTTCTGCTTTTGGGCTTATCCCATCCCTGACCATCGCGCTTGGTCTAGAGTCGAGGTGCATCAGCTCTGTGTCCTCTAAAGAGACTACAGAGGGTAATGAATTGATAAGGGAACTGGCTGTTGGATGATGGGACACGGGAAGGGAGCTGGCAGCTGTAAAGAAGCGCACTTGGGCTTTCCTTTCGTGGATAGTGTGGATCAGGGAGTGGTCCAGCTCTTTAGGGAGGCTCCGAACCTCTCCTCGTTTTCAGCCTCAGTGCAGAAATGGCAGATGGATTCGGGAGTCACATTGGAGCAGCATCACATTGGACATGAGGAAAAATTCCTTCCCCGAAAGGGTTATCAAGCACTGGAAGGGGCTGCCCGAGGAGAGGGCCGAGTCCCCATCCCTGGAGGGATTTAAAAGCCGGGCAGCCGAGGTGCTAAGGGCCAGGGTTTAGTGGTGGGATGGCAGGGGTAGGGGAACGGTTGGACTTGGTGATCTTAAAGGTCTTTTCCAACCTAAACGATTCTATGATTCTTTGACCACCCCTTTGCTAGGGTTATGCATTTTAAGTCGGGATGGGATTCTCTCCTGCCATCCTGTCCCGCATGCTGACAGAGGACCTGGTCACATATGATCCCTGGAATAAGACAACATGGAAAGGGCAAATTTTGTACTTTATCCCACAGGGACTCATCAGAGAGCTGCAACTGCGGGCTGATGGAGACCAGCGCAGGGCAGGGTGGTCCAGCCTGCGTTCAGAAAGCATCTGTAGCCCAAGCACTTGAAGCCACCTCAGGGAAAGGGCATGGGGAAGCTTCTGTCTGGATTAGAAAGGGTTAAAAAAAAAAAAAAAAAGAAAAAACGTATTTCTCTTAACGCATAGAAAGCACGACAAGGCATTTAGAGAGTGTATCGTATACAGTATTTCACAAGTAAGTCCATTTCCTGCCTCCCCTATTGTTTTTGGTTTGATTAAGTATATCCTGTTAAACTGTATATTCCTGTTAGGCCTTCTACTTTACTCTGATAAAGTGAGGGTATGCAGCCAGGAATTTCTTTTGCACTGGGATTTCAGGGATGAAATCTGGAAAAAGGACTTCTATCAGTAGGGAGAAAATTAGCTTGTCTCTCTTGGTGGTGGCCCTTGCTTTGAGCTAGAGCCATGAGCAAAACGATGTCATGAGGGAGCGCAAATCTGATGAAACCCAAAGTCCCTGAGAACCTGCTGAGGACCAGAAAGTTGCGTGAACTTCATGGATCTTCTCAGGCATGGAGTGTCCTTGAGTTTGTCTCTCCCTTGGTAGTGACTGAAAAGCTGGAGTTTGCCTGTAGGACCAGGGGATCGGTGTTGGCTCCTGGCTCTTGTCACCTGGAGGAGCAGGCTTGGGATGGAACGGTCCAAACCCTGAGCTTGAATGCCTCCGTGCATCAGGAGAAACGTCTAACGGGGTGGCCGATCTTACCCTGCCCTTGCCCTTCGGTGGTGCACGGAGGAGTAGATCCAGTTGCCCGCCTGTCCCAGGAGGTGACAGCAGGGTGTAAGATCTGCCAGCAGCTGGCGGTGACAAACACCGAATGGGGGAATGCAAAGATAGACCGTTTGCCACAAAAGGGCGGCGATGAGACATTTCCCTTTCGGTTCCCATTTCGGTGAGTTACAGGTGTTGACTAAATTGGATGCGTAAAGCCACGATTTAAGCATTTTTGGGAGCTCGCTTACATCAGAACGACGACAACCTTGATCTCATCACCCGGTGACTTGGCCAGAGAGGTAGCAGCCAGTCTGTAATTTTTGCCGGTCTATAATCAACGTTGGCTGGTGATGAAGCGCAGCGCGCAGCCTTGATTGAGGCGACGAGTTAGGGTGGATGCTTCTTGATGAACTACCGTCTCTGTGCGGACAATTAGTAATCGCTTCCTGCTAAACCCTTTGGAATGTGTGTTCTGCTCGCGGCGATGCTGGGAGCTTGTGAAGAACCGCCTGTATACTGATTTTTTTTTTATTTCTTCTTTTCTTTTCCTCTGCTCCAGCAGATTGTCCAGACTCTGTGCCTTCCTCCACTGAAACAGGGGGAACTAATTGTCTAGCCCCTGGGGGGCTTTCAGGTAAGACATCTCTTGTTGCCCTTGCTTTTGGCCGTGGGTTGTGTTGACCGAGGGTCCTGACGGAAGGTGAAGTGATGCTGGGGAGTTCTGGGGATGCGAGTCGTTGAGAAAGGCGTGCTCGAAGGGGGAATTGGGTTTCGTTTCGGTAGCAGCCGCGTACCTCTCATGCAGAGGATGTGTTGAAATCCCAGACGAGGTTCTCCATTCCTGAAAGCCCTAATTTCCTTGGGCTTCCAGCCTTACGCTCCATTCATTTTTGAAGCGAGGCGGGAAGAGGCGTGTTGGAGAAGGCAAAGTGATGTTGGCCACCCGTTCGTTCGGATGCATGGATTATTGGAGCAGGTGCGGTTGTGCTTTGCAGAAGGATTCGGTGTCGAGCTCTCCTTGACTTGATGGTGGCACCTCTTGTCTCTGGGAAGAGAGCCGTGCTTGGGCTTTGCTCCTGGTAGGGTAATCAGCAGCTCGCATCTCACACGCGAGGCTCGTGGTGCCCTGGGAGGAAAGGTGACCCTCTTTTTTGCAGAAGATGTTGCAGAAGGTGTTGGGACTGGTTGATCCTTATGGGTCCCTTCCAACTTGGGGGTAGTCTATGATTTCCCTTGTTTTCCTTTTTGCCATCTCCTTCAGCCTCCAGGTGCCGTTATGGGATGGGCATTTGGAAGGGGGTTTCCCCACCCCTCTTGGGCTTTTCGTAGAATCCTAGAGTGGTTTGGGTTGGAAGGGACCTTTAAAGGTCATCTAGTCCAACTCCTAACACCTTTACCAAGGTGTGATGTCTCCAATTCCTCATCTCCCACCCCGGACCGGCCAACTCTGTGGCTGGGCTTTGTCTCTACCAGGATTAAAGTGTCTGAAACCATGTACCTGCATGTACTTGCTGATGTTTGAAGGTGCTTTCCTTTGTGGGGATGTCTCCCATGATTTATGATTTATTCATTGCCCTGAAACTGGAATTTCAGAAATAGGTCGGCGGCGGCCGCACGCGCGCGTGCATCTGCCCCTGCCTCTCTCCAGGAATTGCGTTCGGTGTGGATGTCTTTAAGTGAGCCTTGTTTGTTTTTCTTTGGGTGTAATATATACCCTGTCTGTTATTTGAGAGGGGAGCATATTGTTTGTTCAAAGGCCCTAATGAGAATTAATCAAACGGAGGGGGGAGAGGGAACAGAGAAACTCGTCGCCGCTCTTTTTTTCTTTAATGCAGAAGACTCTTGGGTTTGTCTTAATTTTTTTTTTTTGCTGTTGGAGCCTATAGCTTTAGGGAAGAAAAAAAAAACAGAGACTGTAGACAAGAAACAAAACAACACAATAAGGATGTTGTTAGATCTTTTTTTTTTTTTTTTTTCTTTTTTTTTTTTTCTTTCCCCTTTTTCCTCCTGAAATCCACCCATTGCGGAGGGGAGGAGAGAGTTCAGTTCCACAGGATACCACATGAAATAAGCAGAGGAAGTACTCGCTTTTAAAAGGGGGCTTTCTGTAAGGTTCGCCCTATTGATAACATCTCGTCTGGCTGCTCTGCTCCCGAAGGGAAGGCGGGAGGTGGGGGCTTGGGCTGCAGGAAATAACACGGCTCATTCCCGGTGCCTCCCGAAGGGCCGCGGCAAGGGGAGCCCCAGCTCCTTAATCGCGCCTACTCCCCAAAAGAAAGCACGTTTCCTCCTGAAAACTTTTTTTTTTTTTTTTTTTTTTCCTTACTTTTTTTTAATTATT